TACACTATTTTTAATAATTGTATTTCGCATCAAGAGTCTAAAAAGTACAATTGATATGGTACTTTGTGTAAAATTGTTGCTCTTTTCGCGGCCCATAAAATTTGTTTCGCGGCCTCTTCGAGGGCCGCGGCCCCTAGTTTGGGAAGCCCTGTGCTATACTGATTACTGACCATGTCAAAAATAAATAAAAATTTGTTGAATAGTCGCGGACTCTGGCTGTTTTTATTGCGGAGTCGTTAGAAAAGTATGTTTTGCATGCAAATAGAACAAAAATGATATTTTCAATCACAAATAATTTCATAGGCCATTTTTTAAAACAAATCAAGATCACGCCGTACAGGTAAATTTGCCGATTATTATGTAGCTTCGAAAAATCAATCAATATTAATCGGCAAATTTACGTCAATTTTTAAAACAAATCAAGAATGCGTAAATTTGCCGATTATTATTCAGTTTGGATCATTCTCTCGGCGGATCTTCAGAGATAGCCCGTTGAGACGTTTCTTTCCTTGTGGGTCGCAAATAGGCTTGCTTTTATGGCAGGTACAGTGTCGAATGTTTTCAAAAGTATTGGCAAAACGGTCTTCCAAAAATACACTTCGTATCCAATAAAGTGTTGAAATAAATACTCAAAGTGTTTTCAAGAACATCAAGTTTATATTGTGGCTCTTCATTCAATGGATTGTCGACCTCATGCCTGATATCCTGGTGCCAGTAGACGCAGCGTTATTCAATCTGTTTTTTGAGTATCTAATTTGTCATTTACTGAACAAGGTCGGGTATGTTAACTTTGTCGGAGTGTATGAAGTGGGCTGCAGTGTAGTTTGTTGACTATCTGTCGTGGATGAGATATTCACGTACACATTGTCTCCAAAAATGCACAGCATTAAATAACGACTAGTGAAAAAAATTATTAAAGATGCACATAGGATCCGAATTATGCTCCGAGCAAGCGACTCGTCAAAGTGTATGTCTGTGTTCATATACACATAACTCAAGTAAAAGTAGCTCCTAAAGCATGGGTATGCTCATCGACATATTGTAAACTAGGCTAACCATAAAAACAACTACTAAACGTGGCATTATCAAGATTTTCTTGTATGCACTTTGTACAAGCATGAAAAGTTCATTCATACACTTGCGCTTAAGCTCCGCAAAAGCCATTGTCCGGCTATGATTCAAACTATGGGGTTTTGCCCTACGGCTTACACTATCTCTTCTCACTAGACTCTTCAGATGCATCTGCTGGAAATTTGTGTGAACATTGACATGTCAAATTACACCGTATATACTGTGCAGGTATGTTCATCACACCATCGCCCTCTTTTCCACCATATCTTCGGTCACGGAACCCCATTATAGTATTGAGTAATTGCGCTTAGATAGATTACCGGTAGTTCAAAACCAATGTGTATACAAACACCACCAAACTGTTTAGTAGTTGTCTATACAGAGCCTTGTTCAGTTCATTGCAAAGTTGAAAACGAACACTTTTACAGGTTATAGAGATAGACAGGTTATATATAGATTATATAGTTCAAAGGGACATCTCCACGATTCGAATATGTTACTTATATATACACTAAATGTGTTGATGAACACTCTCACATTTCCGAGTAGTTGCTTGTCCAGACAGTAGTTCAAAACGAATGAGTGACGACAACGCATCGGCTAATAGTATATAATATTTTTGGAACTTTGACATGATACAAAAAAATTAACAAGACAGACACACAGTACGAAAATTTGTCGAACAAATATAGGCTATGAACATAAGATAAAAAAGTACTACACAGAAAATCGCCTCTTGTGATATAGAATAAAGGGGAAAAAACGCGATCACATATTTACCTACAATCGAGATTCAAGCCTGTGATCATACTCCAATACAAGAGATTTATGCTCGAATATATGCACCATGTCCAAAACGAAGTAGTATCTTTCACCGTACTGGTGGGTCTCCTTAAAAACTCCCCACAATGCTGACCACCAAATCGCAGAAATGCGATCGCGGAAGGCCACAGGGCGCGCAATGTGTATTTTTCATGCTGTTATGACACAAAACTTCAAAGTGAAAAACGAATCGCCCACAGAAATATTTGAAATAAATAGAAGTAATAGCTTTATAGCGACAACTTTTTTTCTAACTGCTGGAACAATTTTACTGAAATACTGGAATACTGAAAAGAACAACAACAAATTTAACAAAACGATCCATAGATTCATTTTGTGTAGAAAATAAGTAGAAAGGACAAACTATTAGTTACTTTTAAAATGAGCTTTGTACTTGTGATAAAATGGGTAATAAACCGCGAGCCGAGGCCCTGGAAAACGCCTAGAAAGTGAGTTTCGTAGCGCACATCAGGTAACTACCTGAAAATGATTTTGAAATGTTCCTTAAAAATTTACTAACAAATATTGCCTTGTTCCCACTTCCAAAAGTCGCACGTTCTACGGAAAAGACGCTTTTACTACAAGAAATATGTGCTACGATCTGTCCTATATTCTCTACATTTTCGGCAATGAACAATGACTTCTGCATGACGTAACAGTTGAATCGAATCAGCTGTTAGCGAGCGGATGAATATTAGTTATTACTGCTCGACCTTGCGTTGAGTTGGGCAGCCTTTCCATAGCCCTGTTTAGTTATTATTGGACACGTTTAGTGGCCATAACGATCGTTTCAAAATTTTGTTGTTATTGTTATTTTTGTTATTTGTCTCCGTCTCCATTTTTAAAAAATCGCTTTTCTCTTCGAATACTGGACCAATTGCTTTGATATTTTCAGTGGTTAAAGATGAATTGAATATAAGGGGTTCCCGGAAATTCAATAACCATAAGTTTACAACACATACATAAGAACTATGCAATTCGAGAGCCCCACAGCACACTAACACAAATGTATTCCTGTAATGCTTTGCCTGACCAAAATCGGACTTCCTCAGTCAATCATAATTTATTAGGTAGATTACGAAAAATATGGCATACATGTAACCAACAACAAAAAATACTTTAATTGTGTGACAGGAGTCGCGAGTGAACTCGAAAGCAGCGACACCAACATCGCTGATTCACATTAGCGAATAAATTTTATGTAATAACCACAAACAGTTTACAACAAGAACAGCATAAAAAGCGACATCCATTTTATAGAAGCTATCAAAGGTATTTATTTTTAAGCAATGAAGTCACAAATTAACATCGTGAGCACGAAAACACAAAAAAATCAGTTATTTCTCACTTAGAAATTTCTCAATTAGAAAGTCAAGAAAATTATATGAATGTACAATATGTACATAACATAGTGAACAGAAATATTACAATTAGTCCTCTTTTAGTTTATGTGGTTATGTATTTGAACAAAGGCAACATTATTTCTAGGAACAGGACTACGACAATAACAAATGTCCGAAAAAACAAACAAATAAATGATACTTATTAAATCAACTGCAATATCTAATTCACTTTCTTCTGAATTGTTTTCGAAATCCACTATCTCGAAAATCGACTTTTCCTCTAAGAGTGTACTGTGATTTTTGCAGTCAATACAAAAACAAAAATTTGTGCAATATAAGTTGATTTTGGCACACTTGCATACATTATTTTGACTATTTTTTTTATATACTTGCAGTTTGCCAACTCAAGAACTGATTTGAGGGCCACATGCTTCTTCAGTGAATCATTGTTGGGTGGGAGAGTATAATCCTTATGTTTGCCAGTGTTAAATAGACGTGCCCTGGTATCATTTACATTCTTCATATCCTCTTCATACAGTGAACAAACAAATTCCTCAGCTTTATTTATTAATGCCTCATTAACCTCAAAAGATCTTCATAGTTGAGAAAAAAATGAATTGAAAACCCCAATGAAGGAGAAAATAGGACAGATGGTAACACATATTTATTGTAGTAAAGCGTCTTTTCTGTAAAACGTGCAACTTTTGGAAGTGGGAACAAGGCAATATTTGTTACTAAATTTCTAAGGAACATTTTAAAATCATTTTCAGGTAGTTACCTTATGTGCGCTACGAAACTGAAAGATAAATGGCCTCGGCTCGCGGCCTATAAGTAAAAATAACATGATTCGCGGCCCGCACACAATACTGTACACTGAATGCATCGGCATTCGGTACGTACCGAATTTTTCAGCTATGGAAAGTAACTTATCCAGTGTCTCGCATTATATACGGAATTATCGTGAACATGTGGTACGTCGATACAATAATCTACGATAGTTAGTTATTGGACACGTTTAGTGAACATAACGATCGTTTCAATATTATGTTGTTATTGTTATTATTTGTTTACATCATTTTTAAAAAATCGCCTTTCTCTTCGAATACTGGACCAACTGCTTTGAAATTTTCTGTGAGTAAAGATTGATTTTTTTGCCAGAAGGCTATTACTTTTATTTATTTATAAATTTCGCATGAAATCTGATATTTCGTCTAAAATTTCGCTGTATTATTTTATCCATGGGGACACTGGCTGTCCGGTTTGATTCTGTAAATTATTTCTACGCGAAACTCGGAATTTTTTGTGGGTACCGGTGGCGTCAAAGGTAAATACTGCTTCGCTCTGGGAACGTGTTCATATATTTGAGCACAGCTCTCTTGTAGTAATATTATGGTGCACCCGGTGAAGATTTCGAAGCACTTTCTGCAATGGACATTGCTGTCGACTATGATGATATGTACAAATAATCCCTGTGTTTAGGCAAAAGTGGGATTTCCCATAAGCCTAAACTGGAATATTTCGTAAGATTTGACATAAAATAATTTAGTACCGTAAATTATTCGTTGACAATACTGAGCTCTGGTTCAGGTCCGGATTTCATAACTTTTCGACTCCGCGACATTTTCTTCTCGGTATCGTCTTTTGGCGGGCGAGTGCTCAGCTAACGTTGGTGGTGAATGTTTTGAAACCTTTGCAGTTGCCGCTTTACGCTTATTGCCAATTTCGTTTACACTACTAGTCTAGCTATTTACAACAATTTCAGTAATGGATATAGTCGAATCGCGAGAAGATCTTCAGACAAAATTTGGTAAGTTAACGGTATCGTTACCGTACGGTATGACCGGTGGGCAGTTCATGTTCCATTGTTTCGTCGTTCTGTACTGGTACCGGTACCGTACGGCACCGTACTTTCAGTGTAATATGTACCGTACGACTGTATGTGCCGGTACTCAGATATGTACTGTCTACTGGTCAAATGTTTAAATTTAGCCTAGCCTACTGTATGGGCAATTCTTTAATGCTAGGAATCTGTTGTCGGTACCGTACTGGCAGACTGGAGTGAACTCACTCCAATCGCTGAACTTCCTAACAATAGGCTATAGCCCAGTCGCAAACGGGTCAGTGCTGCAATTGCTTCTTATATTAAGTCAATACGGGTCTAGTATAGTTTAGTACCACAAGTACTTCCAGTGGGCGATTTTTGCATATGTTATTCCTAACCCTCACCTGACTATGCCATCCAAAAATTACGTCATTACGACGTCACCATCACGTCATAGGGATTGTCAAAGTATAATTACGATCGCCCGAAATGGCATCTGCGCCGCCGATAACGAACTTGCTAAAGCCAGCGATCTCTCTCCTATCGTGATCGTTGCGCAAGAAAACGAGAGAAATAGCTTGCTCGATTTCGGGTGATCGTCTACGCGTTTTGGACGACCATCCGCATACTTCAGTGGGCCTTATTACGCCAATGTGCCGTCGGAATGACGTAATTTTTCGGTGACGTAGTCAGGTGGGGGTTAGGATTGACATATGTAAAAATTGTTGAGCCAGGCCAACAAGAAGTGGATGTGGTACTAAACTATACCAGACCCAGTCAATACGACCTTGTTTCTCTGATAACATAGATTGGATGAGTTCAAATAAAATATTTACTGGCCCTGGTGCTACATTGGGAAATTTGGACAATTTCTCATTTATATGCTTATATTATGAGTTGAATTTATTATTGTAAGTAGAGAGTCCCCCCCTACACTAACTCACATTTTCAGCTGCCACTTTTGGTACCAGTATAATGACTTTCGAATCTTCCATATATTTTCCATATTTTTGTATTTTCACAGTATTTTTGTTATTAATAATCATTTGTCTATACAACTGTACAAGGGATACATCCGTTTGGAGCCCGTTAGTCAAAACTCTCAAACTTCCCCTTATGTACGCCTATATACTTTGCCTCAAATACAATTTTTTCAATTTACATACAAAATATGTCAAAATATTTAATTACTGAATTTTCTAATTTAGAAGGATCCACATCCTTAAAATGACCACGGCGGATTGATGCATTTATGAATTTAATATTATATGGACATGTTAAATTCTAATTTGTATGATGCTTTGTGCAAATCGAATATCCTTATTTGTCTAATCATTGAATTATCAATTTTATTTCTGCAGATCCACAAGCTAAGAAACGCTGGGTTGTTATTTTCATCTCAGCTTCAGCAATTATTTCTATTTGTGCCATCATAACAGTGCTTGTTGTGGGTAAGATTTTCTTTGCAAGGTTAAATAATCAGGTGTATAAAGTGCAAGTTATGACATTTTAATTTGGACATCGGCATCATTTAATTGTATTTTTACTCCACCTGCTGTCTGGGGTTATATGTGAAGCTATATCAAAATTGCTCTCAACAGTTGATGATGGACTACATATATAGTTATTAACCATTTTCATAATGCATACAGAGGCAGACATAAAAACAGTTCTATTTCTTCAAACTGGTTTTCAGTTCAAAATTCTTTCATGTTGTTTTACAGCAAAAACAGAAACTATAACTGTGTTGAAAGATTGCCATGTTGAATTCAAAGGTGATCCTGTTGGAATCAATGAATGCCTGAGTATGTTCACTGTTTTGCTAGACGGGATACAATTTTAAAATGCAGTGATTAAAGTGTAGTGTTTCGTACAGATTATTCACTTTACAATTTAGACATGGTTTAGTATTGTCCGGGATACATTATAAGTTTTTATGAACCTTTATTTTTACCTTTATTAACTCTTTATTCAATGATATCTGGAAATGTTTGCTTGAAAATGCGTCATATGTGATGATGCCTTTATAAATGTAGTATATCTCACCAGTGGGAGTTCCAGACTATATATTGTCAATTATGGTCAGAAAGTTTGTATCAAAAGGTATTCACAGATGGCCTATGATCAAGATGTACCGGTATATGTCCTTTACTTTTCTCCATGTTATTTGACAAATCAAGTTTTTTTCAATTTGGTTCACTGGAAAAAGATTATTAGTTTAACAAGACTATTGCAGCCATATGTCAAATACCCGATATGGTAACTCGATGAGCGATTGTGGCATGCCGTATGATTAAGTGTATATCGCCTTTCCTCTCCCCCAGCAATTGATATTGCATCCTTGTCTTGTAACTAGTATTATTAATATTATTTTTACCTATTCAGAGTCACATTGTAGATTTGATACCGAGGTTTGTTCATCTCCATGTCCATTTGGTTATGAGACAAATGACAGAGATTGTCAGATTAGTTGTGAATGCGCAAGCGAAGGTGTATTTGAAGGAGATATAAGATTTGATATGGATAGTCTTCCTACATTTTTAAAGGTGCAGTTCAAGAAAATATTGCAGAAGTAGTTTTATATTCAATCTTCCGAAGATATAATACCCCGCAATATGTATTCTTATGAAGTGATTCACATCTTTGCCCTGAACAAGGCTCTAGACAGGCAAGACTGGTTTGGAGGGAGATGCTACGTCTCTTGGAAAACCAGAAGCTTTCTGATGAATCACGAAGGCTATTCACTTTATTGTATTTTAGTCGGATTGATGGTATATAGTCTGATTAAAAGTTCTGTAAACTTCGATGCCAGCAGGGTCCAAGAAGCTGATTCATCGCGCCATTATGTTGTCCTGTAACACAATAAATTCAAATTTTGCCTCTCATTTGCAGAGCTTTCTAGAATCCGTGCATGTGATTTAGTCTGTCCAGTGTGTATAATTGTTCATTACAGGTTCAATTTTTTATAGCAATATTTCTAAATTTAAGATTGGATATTTTTCAGGACTATGGCTACGTTGAGGAGAATTTTGATTCAGGTAGAAGGAGGACTGAAGCAGTAGTTTCACTCTGGGGCATACAGTCTGAAGATGGTCGACATAATATTCCTTATACTATTAGTGAGAGGCTTTGTAAGTATTTTTTTTTTCCAGGATTACTTTATTAGCCACATTAGATTACCTTGAGTTATTGCTGTTACTAAAATGTTTTTATGTTTAAACTTGTGTCCTATATTGCTTTATTTGTTACGGTATATGTCAAATGAATGACAGGTTTTCAGTTTTTGAGGAACTGATCGTTTTTGGACAATTTCAAAATCTAAAATAAAATTTTTAGGTGTGTTCTGAACTCGAGATTCCTTCTAGTTCATGGTTCTAGCTAGGTGTTCGTGCCATAATCTAGCAAATAATAGGGTGAAGAACTTGGGATAACTCATTCTTGACTGATATTGTCATATTTAATCTTTGTTGTGCCCTACAATCTGAAAGATTTTCCAGCTTTATATCTGTTTGGCAAGAGTCAGTTAAAAGGAATACGTTATTATTAATGAGGACCAGATAATTGCTGTCTTTTCATATGTAACATGGTAAAGCCTTCTATTTTAGCAAGCAAAGCTCGATCTGCTATTGAATCATCAGCTAAAAATTTATCATCGATAACCTGTGTAGATTTTGTTCCCCGAAAATCAGAAGAACAACACATTCGATTCGTTTCCAAGGTTGGATGTTGGTATGTTTTATGATTAAACTTGTACTTATTTGTTGAAGCTGTTTCATGATTTCGACTGCTCTACACAATTCTACTATCGTCAATATGTGATAATATATTAGATTCTACTAGAAAGGTATATATATATATATACAAGCAAACTGTAGCACAGTATTCAAGAATACATGGTGAACAAAAAACAGTAATAATCTTCTTCATATATAAGATGGTAATGTAGCCAAACAAATTTTTTTTATAATGGGATGATAAAATTCGAGGATATTGTTCGTGCCATATCATGACAATTTTTTCCAATGTGTATTTGCCAGAAACACTCATTTTAATATTTGGATACAGTACTCGAACATGCTTTTAGGTCTGGTATTGGAAAGAGTGGAGCAACTCACGATATATCAATAGGTGTTGGATGTGAAAATGAAGCTTCCGTCTCACATGAGCTAATTCATGTACTTGGTTTCCATCATGAACAATCTAGACCAGATAGAGATGGCTATGTTGATATTTTGTATGAAAATATAAAACCAGGTGATATAAATTCATAAAGAATCAGTAGGGAATTTAATTCTACGCAAGGTTGAGTGTAGTTCTTAATTTTTGAAATATCTGTGTAAAAGGATAAGGAGACGAACCAAATCAAAATAAATATATCATGCAAAAAATGTTGATTTTTGTACAGTTCATTCACACGACATGTACAGAATTAGTTAGCGATTTGGTTGCATTCAAATTGTCAGATTGGAACTTTTGAATTGAATTGTGAAGGGAACACTTCTTTTACTGTTAAAATTAGGCTTGTACCATATTAACGATTGAAACTAAAAATTTATAGCTATCTTTCGAGTTATTACCATGACCACGAAAGTGCAAAATTGACCGTATGGCTTTCGCAAAGCAGAAAGGATAAGGACCAGGTTAAGACTAATATCAGAGAGATCGGGTCAGAATACCAATCCTTAACTTTATTTTTTTTAAAGCCTTCCAAAGTGCCTTTGCCAAGAGGGTTAAAAAAAGTCCAACTGATTTTGATGCTGAATATGATACAACTTCTATTATTCATTTCTCTGGACGATACTTTAGCAAAAATGGTCAACCTACTATTATGGATCGCTCAAATAATGAACCAGTACAAGTTGAGAAAAAATATCTCAGTCATCAAGATATCTACAGAGTTAATATTCTATTCAAGTGCTTGCCTGAAAAACCTGCTGGTAAGTTAATCAAATCAATCCATATCTTTGGTAACTGGCTAATATGTTCAATTGCGAATTTAAGGATCGATCTTCTTGGCATGTTTTCTCTGGTCGGAGATCTAAGGGTAAGTCGCAGTGAGCCAGTTTTTGAATTAATTTATTGTAATAATTTTGGGTAAGTGAACATGTACCACAGGGGTCGGCGACCTACAGCCCGCGGGCGGCGCTTCACTGAATTATAGCAACAAAACAGCCGTTTTGACGATTATATTCTTTAGACTGAATTATATTATAACCTAACAAATATATAATTCACAATTACCCGTTAATTAAGCCCATAATTTAATTATATTGAGACGAATGGCAACACATCGCAGAAAAGTTGATGCTAAGTGCAAAGGGTTGAAAATATTCTAATGGAATTTTTTGAGATGCAATGAGGAATTAATCCATATCCTATTCTAGAGATGTATCACTGCTTGATTTTTATTATAAAAAGGATCATCTGTTCGGTTTTCAACTTTCTAAAAACATGTGCGGCCCGCCAATGACTTGCAACCCGTAATTTTGGCCCGCGAGCGACAAAAGGTTGCCGATCCCTGATATACCACTTCCTTTTGGCAAATCCTTCTATCTTATATTCTGTACGTTCCAAACCTTATCTGAGGTTTTGTTTGCTCTCCTGATTTCATAATCAGTTTTTATCAATCATTTTATTGCCTGATATAGAGTATAAAAACTTATTATGTCGAGTATGACACTAGTCTATCTATTCAATATATTGTATATTTACGTGTTAGTCTTAATGCTATTTTGTTAAATTGAAATCTCTCTCTCCTCTAATCCAAAGTGTTTGGAATTGGACAAGCTTTTTTTAAGTGTAGGATTTTTACTTTGACAAAGATACAGAACCTTTTTAGTTAAATATTGTTTTGTATTATTTCATTCATTCATTTATAAAGCTGACCTCTGTGTATAGGCCTACTACCTTAATTTAAATAGAAGAAAATAAAATGTTGCTGTTTCAATGTAATGTATTACAGAAACTCACACAATCAGAGATTTTGAATTATAAATGCTTACTAAACTATTATAACAAAGCTTCTCTTAATTTTCAAACTGTTGTAAAAAACTCAAGATATACTTTTAAAATTATTCAAATATCTATATTCATGTGGTTTGCAGTAGAGTGGACAGAGTGGGGTAATTGGAGTGCTTGCGATAAGACATGTGGAGAAGGAGAGAAGTCAAGATTTCGAGTTTGTAAAGATGCAAAGGAAGAAATTGTAGAAGGATGTGAAGGTATGAGCTCTTGTAGATTAACCACTTCTATACCTTTTTGTTTCAAATTTCGTAATATGCTGCTAACTGCCGAGATGTGATATTTCTAAACAACGGTACCTTTTCAAAGTGATTATCTGTACGGAAAACACAAAATGCAATAACGTAATCCAATGCTCATTAACAATTAATTAATGTTTGGATTATGTTGTAAAATAAAATTCTGTGGTATTTCATCTGTAAATCTCGAATCATTGCAAAAGTTTTAGATAGCTATTCCGTGTAAAATATTCTGAATTATTCACAGGTTGTGTGACATGAATATATTGTTTTGTTCTAGGTGAAAAATCTGAAAGAATTGATTGTGAAAATGAAGCTTGTCCAGGAGAATGGAGCGACTGGAGTGAATTTGGTGATTGTTCTAAGGAGTGCGATGGTGGTTTACAATGGAGGTATGCATTATTAAAACATAGAACAAATAATATAACCATTGGAGAAAACTTCGCTTGTTTGTTGTTATTTGTCAGGTATATATGATATACTTCACGTAATTAAAACAAGTGATTGATAGAAAGGTGGTACATTTTATGATTGTATTTTGTCATTAAAATAAATTTAATTATATTAGTTTTGTTCTATCGAGCAATATTGTCAATTTTTTTTCTACGACTTGCATTCAAGTACCATCAATATGTGACATGTAAATGTTGTTTATTAAGGAATCGCACTTGTAATTTGCCAGATATGTGTGAAGGGAAGGATTCTGAAGGTTCTGATTGCAATACTCAAGCTTGTGGAGGTACTTTCTACTTTACTGAACATACAGAATGTGTCTACTGTAAAATTAAAATCTCTGTAGAACTAAACAACAAATTCCTGCTTGTTGGTCTGTAATTTCATGCCATTTTTAATCTCAATTTGTGGGAAAAGATTGGATTTCTTAGGGCTTTTTATACATTGAAACATTTTCATTCTGCTTTTCATGCCACTTCCATTCATATGTGATCATTTTTGTTTATCATATTCTCAGCTGATGCTAACTGGCAACAATGGTCGTCCTGGAGTGAATGTGATAAGACTTGTGGAAGTGGTAACATGGTAAGTTGTAGGAATCTTTTACCGTTAACAGAAAGGTTTGATAGAACAAACAAATAATTCATTCAAAACAAATTAAAAATCTTAATTTTTGAAAATTTATATGATTAAATTAATGTTTTTTAATTAATGTATTCTTTTTTATATAAGACAAGAAGACGTCAGTGTCTCGGTTTTAAAAATGAAATGTCCATTAAATGCGAAGGTAGTGAAGGCAAACCGGTTATTGAAGATAAACAATCATGTAATACAAAAGATTGTGAGCCAAAAGAACCAGAGGGCGATGGTTGGGATGAATGGGGCCTTTGGTCAAGCTGTTCTCAAACTTGTGAAGGAAACAAAAGCAGGTGAGTTCATACATTATATTTATTGATTCTGATGAATACCGTATATTTTGGCGAATAAGTTTACTATGCAAATGAGACGAGGCTTGTTTAAATTCAATATTTTGCTGTGAAAAGATGTCTGCATCTCAGGAAAGAAAGTGTTATGATGAAGCTTTCAGACTAAAAGTAGTTGAGCTAGCCTTGCAAACCTCAAATATGAATGCCGCTCGCCAACACTATGTGAACAAAAAACTAGTCAGTGATTGGAAGTACCGGTAAGCAGAATGTGTGCATGCTCAAAGAAATGCCAAGTAAAAGTAACCAGAACATTTCACCGAAATGGTCAAAACTTGATGAATGTGTATTTGAATGGGTGAAAGTAAATCGACAGGAAGGCCTGGCTGTCACTAGTGCACAAGTGAGTCTTTTTGCACTAAACTGGGCTAGTCAAAATGAAGAAAATTCAAGAGACCTCAAAGCAACTAACAGCTGGTGTTCCTGCTTCATGAATCGACATGGCTTTGTACTTCGAAAAAAAAACGAAAATTGTGCAGAAACTGCCGCGAGACAGGGATTGTAAAATCACATCGTTCTAGAAATATATCATTCGTCATCACCAAAAACATGAGTGTTTGCTACAAACGATTAAGAAGATGGACGATTTTTCTATATGGTTGAAAACAAAATGATACATAAAGCTAGTGAGAAAACCGTTTGGATTAAGACAACAGGCTATGATGAACAACGTTTTAAGGTAGTCTTATCATGCCTTGCTGATGGGACGAAATTGCTGCCTAGGGTAATTTTTAAGAGGAAAACATTCCCCAATGAACAAAACTTTCCGAAATGTGTGACAGTCCATGTACAAGAAAACATATGGATGGATGACAAGAATTGCATTGAATGGATCAATGAAGTGTGCGCATCGTCCCAGTGGACTGCTAAAATCCAGACCATTGCTCCTTGAAATTGATCCTTATCCTTATCCGAAGATTGGAGTCGATTGTCCGAAGGTGGTGATGATGACTTTTATGGATTTTAAACGTATTAATTTAAAGTGTCTATTGTTTAATTTCGTTTTAATTTAATGGTTGTTTAATTTCGTTAATAGGATTTTATTTACATAAGTCTGCTGCTAGTGATAAATTGAAGGTATGATTTTGAGACCCCCGGATCAGGGATGGGAAATTTAGAGGATTCAAAATCAGGCCGAAAACTTGGGTCTAGGTTAGCAACTTATTCGGGGGGAAATATGGTATGTTGATATCAAAGTTTACCTGATAATGGTTAAAGAAACAACTGGAATTTAAATTTGATTTTTGATAAAAACTTCAGTTGACTAATATACTTCAAATGTAACATTGTTGTTCTGTATATTAATTCATTTTCAGAGAAAGAAGATGTAAAGTGGAAAAATGTCAAGGAAATTCTACTGAGATAACAGATTGTAATACAGAAAAATGTGAAAGTAATTTAAACTTTTATTAAATTTAAATTCAGAAAATATTACATAATAACTAAGATTTTATATTAAGATTTAAAACTTAATAATATGCTCATTTATAATATTCATGTTCATAGAAAATATTGCCTTCACAACTATTAAAATAGTTTATATTCTGCTTTCAATGTTCTATTTCTTAACAGAACCTCATTGACTTTTCTCATCATTATTTACTAGATTAAAAATTGGTATATGTTATGGTTGTGGGAATAATTTTTCGTGTTTCGAAATGATTCTTTCCTTGCTCATCATTTGTTCCAACTCTTATTTACTGTCATGTTTCAGATATGTGATAATAGCAGTTTTATGTAAAATATGTATTTTGCAGAAGATCTTTTTTCTGAAAAATCTAAAAAAACAAATGCGTTATGTAAGCAATCATCTTTATGGAATCTTGCTGATTTTAATGGAGATGAAAAAGCAGATGCATTGTGTAAAAATCAGGATGGAAAATTGTAAGTTATTCTTTTTCAAAACTAAAGCACTTTAACCACTGTTTTATTGAGTTCGATTCCATCGAGTTGTGACTGTCCTCTTGTTTGAGAATCTCTTGCATGAAACAAATAATTTGTTTCTGTATTTGTAATAGTCACAATAGGGCAAATGCTGACACTATTTTTGATTTTGTACACTGCTTATCATTTAGTCTACGGGAAAAACCTAATGGTCAGTGCATGTGAGATTTATGTTTCATATTTGAGATTTACATTCATTGAGATTTACACCTGCTAATTCATAGTGAAGTAGGGTAGGCTTTGCTGAGCCATATCATTTAAGACTTTCGGAGGGGTGTTAAACTCCCAATGAAATATCTCAAATACAAAAATTATATGCACACTTCATTAGATAATAAGCCATTGCCTCTCTTTCTTATCTGGTAAGGGGTATCACATACTTGTCATCTCTCAATTGTCCCACACTTTTCCTATTTGTCTCACGCTTGCCTCACTTTTCCTAATTGCATGAATCTCACAAATAAATACCTATCCTAAATGATTATATATACTCCAACCCAGATCATAGCATGAACTCCGCTACACATGCTACTGAAGCATTGACCACAAATATTCGCTGAATAATGGGGAAAATGTAGCGAAGTGGGGCAAGTGTGCTAAAATAGGACAAGTGGAACATGACACTTTTGAGACACCGTATTGGTGGGGTCGAGGATGTTCCATACATGCAAGCATTGTAGCCAGCAATGTGTTATTTTTTGATGATTGATTATTGAACACAATTTAACACAGTAAATTAAGTCATGGTGAAGGAACAAATAGTTTCAGTTCTGTAAGTTGGCAAGGAGTTCTAGCAGGATGTTCGAAAGGATTAAGATATACAGGAGATTTTAATGGTGATGGGAAGTTTGATTTACTTTGCAAAGATATCACAAAGAGGTGAGACCATGATTAGAACTAAACGCGCATGAATCTTGCAAATGATTTAGCTTAGGAATAGAAAAGTTATTATGAAATCTTGGATGAGTGTTGACTTACAGCCTATGGGTATTGGAGCAGCTAGCAAATTAATAGTTTCAAAGCCTTGTATGCTAAAATCGAACAGTGGTTAAATGAACCACCCTGCGAAGGTGAAGACACCAATCCTCTTGCACAAGATTTAAACTTACAGGCCATGGCCAATTCTTATTACAGCTAGCTAGGGCATTGCCAAGAAAGCGTGATATATATGTAAGAGATTCTCCAATTAATAGTCAAAGGGTTGTCCAAATGCAAAATGTTCTGTGACGACTTGCAGTAATACCTTGAAATTGTGTATTAATTATTGTGTTAACATAATACAACCAAACTAACATGATTAAAGTCTGTAGCTTGTAAATGTATATAAATCTAGAGCAGGAGCTCTTATCAGGTATTCTTCCATTTTCCACTTTTAGTGTAAAATGTACCCCTACTAAATCTTTTTTTCCTGTGAAAATATAATGATCTGTCGCGCCGGGCTCTCCAGTAACCCTATTATGCTACAAGCAATTAAAATCTCATAAGTTCCCACAGTTGGGATCATACTGAAATAGAACAAGTAGTTGCCTATTCATGTGGTAGTAGGAAGAAGTGTGAATTTCTTGCTTTCAAAATTGACCCCAAGGCAAGTCAAATTATTCTAGGTTGCGAATCCCTGATCTAGCAATTCAAAGTTAAAACTTACTGTTATTTCAAGGCGTCTGAGTATCAAGTTTGCAACAACAGAAGGAAAATTCAATGACATAGCTACAGATGCAGGAAATTTCTGTGCAGATGAAGACAAAATTCTAATATTAGTTGATTCAAATGGAGACGGAAAAACAGATTTAGCTTGTGATGAGAAACAAAAGGATGTTATTATAAGATTAAACACTTATGAACCATGATGTGACTAATAAACAGATATTCTAATTCAATTCGCACTTATATAGTTTTTGTTTATCGAAGTGGTGATTCTCGAGCAGTAAGTATCATGGTTAAGGCGAGAATCCAGGCACAAGCCAGTTTCGACATGAAATATTTTGAACTACGCCATGGTAGAAAAAAGAAAGTTGCTGAAACTTTAAATGACATTGACGTCAAATACACAAAGCCTTCTGAATTACTTTGTTGATTAATTTGATATTGAATTGATTTCATTTCGCATTAAAAAAGTGAATAGCTTACTTCAAAGATAATTTCAACGTTTATTAATTCATTTTGATTTAATCATTCTTGCATCAGTTTCAAAGGAAGTACCGGTAGTTATCTGTGACTTGGTCATATTCGATGATGTGTGTATTATTAACATGTGAGGGTATTTCACAATCATTTGTAGTTGTGTTCCTGCTATTCTGTCTATATATTTAATTTGATATTTCCACCTAGTTCAGTTAAATCACTTTAGTTCTTCAGTATTGCATCGTCAAGCTGTTTTGTCGGATTTGTGCTAGAGGTATATTAAAGTATAGCTTATATTATAACAGCTGTCATAGTGCTTTATTTCAAAAAGTTGAGAGGAACAGTTGGTTCGTAATTTTGTCTGAGAGTAGAAATAAAGGCAGCGCTAGTCAACAAAATTCATTGATATGTCTTGAAATATGTTATTTAAAAATTCATTTTTTAAATTTAGATTTTATTGTCTAGAAATTTTATATTATGATAAATTTGCTTCACAATATCAATTGCCATCAAAGTTCAATGTATCAATGTACTCATATTTTTAATTTGCCAATTTTATGGCTCAGTCCGTTGAATAGTCTATGATTTGACCATTTTCAGCTGTATTTTATTTTGTTTTTCTACTTTTAGTCAATTTATTATTAGGGAACTACATAGAAAATTTGTCTTCGTTATAAAACGGATTATAATTTCTTGATATTGAAAAGCAAATACACAGAGTTTTGAAAATTAAAGAAATGATTTGAGTCGCTATGGAGCGTTCATATCAATATATGGCTTCCTGAGGTGCGCCATGGTGAGACATTTCTTCAAATCAAATTTTTGCCTAATTTCTCCTCATTGAGTCATAGCAAATTCAATTTTTCATACTCTGTAATTGCTCTACTAACCAAGGTTAGGGTTAGAATCTATAATGACAATATAGTTATCATCATGTTTATGAATAAACAAATAAAAATTTGGTACAGTTTCGTTTAATATATCCGGATATATTATTCTTGAGATTTCTATCTTAAAAGCTTCAATAATGTTGTCTATAATGTCTTTTAGACCATACTTAAGGGAGCAAGCTACAAGTATATATTCTATAACCCAGTTTCAAGTGTATATTTTCAAATTAATCTACAAAGAAACAATCGGGAATATTAGAGACAATGGAAACAGGTCAGCTCAAATAATTTTTCTATTTTGAGTGATGGTTTTATCTGTACAGATAATATTATAAATTCAATATTTCAAAATTTAAGATGTTGGATACAGAAAAGGCTTAATTCAATACATTTAAGATGTCTTTTGCATTATTTTGCAGGCCTAATGTTTTGAGTTTGTGTGATTATTAGAATTCTATTCGCAATTTGCGCTCTCTAATCTATAGTCTTCTGGGTCTGGTTTGTGCCAGTTTGATAATATGATGATTTTAGTAGCAACATTATTTGCATAATTTCATGTGCTGTTATTTTGGACACGAAGTGAACCCATGGATCATTTTGCTGTGTGTTTGTGAAAAATCGCTTTTCTTCGCAACTATTGGTCCAATTGATTTCGATTTTTCAGTACTCAAAGATGAAGAGAGTCGTTGAAAATCTATTAATTTTGTTTGTTTGTAATTTTTCTTCAGCCGTACGGGGTCCTATATGGTATATACCACTACAAGTTTTTGCTAGTTTTTATCATTGATGGAAACATCTCCATGTGAGAGTAAATGCAATTTTTTCAACATTTGGCGCAATTTTACTGATATTGTGATGGCTATATTACCGGTAGTTATCTTTGAGTTATATTTAGCATTGACTGTTGTTGTTTTTATGAACATTTTTGAATTTTTTTCCGTTATCAGTGTCAAAGTCTTCATCCCCTGTGAAGTTGATAATTATTGGTGGAATCATTCTCTTTATTGTTATTGGAATCATTGCAGTTATAGCAATGCTGATGCAAGGTATGCAATTTAGAATACTTTTGTGTTCAAAAATTTAATTTTGAATTGATCTGTTGTATTGTTGAATCATGACTATAATATGCTTTATAGAAGATATTATTCGTCGATCAACCTCAAGATTTCGTTTTTGGGTTTATAAAAAAATTGATTTGAAATTTATGTACATTTCGAAAAAATTTAATTTTTTGGGTTTGTAGATTAAAGTTAAAATGGCATCAAAATACTGTGTTCAATTTTTGGATAGGTACATTTATATACAATGGTTAGCTACATGAATGAAAGACATATAAACCGAATTCTATACAGATGAAGGTGAATCAGAAAGGAAAGCATTTCAAGATGCGACTTGTAATGTGGAAGACCCCTCACCGATTGAAATAAATATGTGTTCAAGTACGTTAATGAAAAAAGCGACACTGTATTTTTCTGCGACAATTTTGGTACCGTATTTTATTAGTTTAATACATGGCCAGGTGATGTCATTTGATATTTTTGACACTCATGTTGCACGACTTCGAAGTAGTAGCTGAAGTAAAAATAGTATACTGTAGTAGTCTTCCTAGTATATTTAAATGACTTTCGATTTTCTTTCGAAAAATAACACGAGGGCTTATTTTAGGGGCATGTCTTATTTTTATTTATCAAGAACAAAGTTACTAAGTAGAGAATTACAGGATTTTTAAATATACAAAATAATCATTTAAACGTGATAAGAGAGACTTTCTTGCTATCGACTAGGTCAAAAAAACTTTCACGCTATCAACTAGGTTTTATTTTAAGGAGAGGGCTTATATTAAAATCTTTTTTAAAACTCAGGCTAGGTCTTATTTTCGAGGAAACTCAGTATCCCCCCACTCTACAGAATTATCGAGTTGCGAGCACTGGGTTATGTAAACGAAGGTTCTGTGGTTGGACTGTGCTTCGCAATATTTTACATGAGTGCATTCCATATTTTCTAACCTTTTATATGGTTATCTGCCGTTTTCCTTCCCAAATAAAATTGTGTGTTAAATTTCATTCCCTCTTAATTTTATATGCTTTTTTACTGGATGGAATAATTAAGACTCACACAAACTAACAGCACTGGCAGGATTCGACAACTGTTGAATCTTTTTTTTTTAAATTTTAGTGGTTACTCACTGTACATTCGATAATAAAATATGTGAATTTGAATGTCCATTTGATTACCGAAAAGATGATAATGGTTGTCAGACGAGTTGTGAATGCGCAGAGAATGGTCAATATCAAGGGGACATACGATATGATATATCTCAAATTAATAGCATGGCCAAGGTGATTGTTATTCTGTTTTCAATGTTATTTTTACAATCTAATTAGATTTTAAACATGTATTTGTTTATATGATTCACATAAAGATATATATAAAGTGATAGATACCTTGTTTACAATATTATATTCATACGGAGATCTTCAAATGTGTACTTACGGATTTAATCCATGGTAGAATACTAAGAGGGGGGGGGTACAAGGGGATAACTATGGGGCAGGTGCAAACTGACATAAAGTAATATTGGGTTTAGGAATTCTTTGACACACTGTTTAAACCCAAGCGCTGGGTAAATTTCACAAAAATATAATATCAAGCAAAGTCACACATTTGCTCAAATAGTCGGCGTGTCCCAATTTTATCTAGTACTACAGACATTGTGCAGCACAAAAGTCAATGGGAGTAAACACTGTTCTGGACTATTTACTAAAACTTGGTGCTTTTTGTCAATAATTACGACATTTACATAAGTCTAAATTTCCCGCATAACTGAAAATAAGTTTCTGTAAATTATGTGCAAGCTTACTCCGAATATTTTGAATTGAATTATGTATTAAAGTAATAAATCCTTAATGATAGTATTATATCAAGGCATAGTCATGTCTTGACTGGAATTCTTGAGTTGTGCCAATAATTATATTTCATTTCTTCTAAATATTGTACATTTCCATTCGATCAAAATTATGATCATTGCCAACATCGTTTAAATAGCAATATAGCAATAGTTTCAAATTTGGTCAACAAAATTCTCTTGAAATTTTAATCGTATATAATAAAATAAATTTCAGGAATATGGATATTTGGATGAAAAAGAAGATTTTGACTTGTTTTATGGCTCAGTAACTACTTCTACTCATCTTTGGACTGACGATGTTGTGGATGGAATAAACAGAATACCATATACTTTGCATGATAATATAAAAGCGAGTGTGTATCTATGTGTATAATAGTGAAGCAAGTTATACAAGCTATTACTGATTGATGTTCTGGAAGAAATGTAGACCAGACAATTAAAGCAGTATAAGTTCGTATTTGCAAAGTATGTTTCAGATCAAATTTTGAAACAATCATACAGCTATGTATCCCCACGTTTTTGTGTGACATTTCTGTAGCGGCCTTAGTTTATTCGACAAAAATAAATATATTAATATTTATATGAGAGAGATGGTGTATTGCTTGGTTTCTGAATCTTTGTGTATGCGAGTGGAGCATTTTATCTTGAAAGCAAAACAAAGCAAACTAATACAGTGTTAGCTTTTAATCCTATATTCATAAAATAAACTATTTTGGGTTTCTTTGCTTGGTATATTTTTAGGTCGAAGAAAAATGCAAATTATTGAAGAAACTTTCGAATATTTTACAAAAATGCTTTGCATCGAATTCGTACCTCGCACCACTGAAAAAGATTATGCTCTTATTGTATCTGGTGAAGGATGCACGTAAGTTGAAGATACATTTAGATTTGGAATTTTGAATATATTAGTTATATTTTAGAAAGGTGGGATTTTAAATCATGTTATATTTTTAGCATATTTATTCGAGATGTCCTTATCATAAGAGATTTCTATTATTATATAAAGTTTCCAATTTATATAATGACATACACTTAGAATAGTTACCTTCACTCTTTGCTACAGCATTCTTGTATTATATGCATACCACCGACGCGAAAACATACAGGAAGTGCAAGTAGTTAGTCCCGCAGAAATTCAGTCAATAGCACTTTTAACCCCATCATTAGATGACTTTTAGAATATAATCACAATTTGTAACAACTATATTCGTAGAATAGATGTTCCCTGATCTTCCATTTTCTATTTTGTTTAAAATAAAATATCGGGGCTCCCGAAGTATGCGAACCAAGATGGCGGACATCGGAATGTAATATGTGTACAAGGTTAGGGTTAGGCCATAATTTTAGGTATAAATACTACGGGAGACTCTTGGCTAGTCTTCGAACTGATAATAGGACTAAAATAGGGAAAATTGGAAAAAAATTATCTCCTAACCCTAACCTGTTACCCATGTTACGTTCCGATGTCCGCCATCTTGGTTCGCATACTTCGGGAGCACCAAAATATCTCATATTATGCTATCCCATTTGAAGCCGAACATTTGTACAATGCATGATTTAAAACAGGGGTCGGCAACCTTTTGTCGCTCGCGGGCCAAAGATAAAGGTTGCAAGTCATCGGCTGGCTGCACATATTTTCAAAAAGTTAAGAATCGAATGGATGACCGATGAATCACATTTTATCACACAGATCGAAAGTTAAATTTTAAACAGCGCACGAAGACTGACCTAAATGGGCCATTTAACCATCAACTTTTCTGCGTTTTGTTGCCATTTGTCTAAATTATAATTAAATTATAGGCTCATTAAACGAGTAATTGGGAATTATATACTTGTTACGTTATAATATAATTTAGTCTAACGTAAATTCTTTTGCGTAGAGAATAGAATCGACAAAACAGCTATAATTTGTTACTATAATTTAGTGAAGCGTCGCGGGCCGGATTATATTGCTCCGAGCCGTAGGTTACTGACCCCTGATTTGAAGGGATGCATTAGATTGGGAATAGCTGATGAAGATTGCCAATTGTTAATAGCAATACACAAACATTTGAAGATAAACTACAACGTGTATATTTTAGCAAATATTAGTTTTCATCTTTTTTAGTTCATTTCTTGGAAATGCGAAGAATGGTGAACAGAAAGTTTCACTCGATGATGGTTGTGATTATTTCGTAATTGCTCTACATGAGTTTCAACATTTGTTGGGATGGGCGCATGAGCACACTCGTGCTGACAGAGATGGGTATATTGAAATTTTCAAAGAAAATATCCTTGAAGGTAAATGGTAATGAAAAGAATGATTCAATTATATAATACGAGTTTATCAATTAATTTTTTCTGATACAGTGGGAACTCTACCTTTGTCCCGGAAGCCCTTTCGTATGTTGAAAATTGTGTAAGTAGGGACGCATTTTACTTGTTAATGCTCTAAACTAGCGGTTCCCAAACTATGGGTCGCGACCCACTGGGGGTCGTGAAAAGATGTAGAAAACTTTGATTAATTATACTGGTTATTAGGTTCGGTGGCGACTCGAATACGTAAATCTTTAAAAAAACGAAAGAAATTAAATTGAATTCAAAATCTTATCTGTCAAAGTTTCCTTTTTACGATCTTCTCAAAGGAACAAAAATTTGCTACACAAAGAATGAACATATGGCTTTTTTACGCAGAGCAGTTTTGTACACTGTACAGCACTTCTTACTGTGTTGCCCCGAAATTTAGACAGGATTTAGTTTTATTTTCTTCTAAAGAATAACACTATGGTTTTTTGGAAGAGGTCTTTTGAGTTCATTTATCAAAAATAAAATTACATTGTAGAAAATCACGAGGTTTTTTAATAAACATTATGTAAAAACCGACATCCACTGTTTTTAATTCCTATACAAAAATCCAGTGGCAAATATCATAGTTGTGATTGTGACATCTAGGGCTGTCCAACCGAACCGAATATTCGAAATCGAATCAAATTCGAAGCGTTTTTCGTCCAATTTACGAATTGCTAAAATTCGGTACATAATGCGTATCACGACCACCTCTGCCCCGCGTTTTTCACCGGGCAAGCAAACACAGGTTTCTATCGCTTTCTTTGCTGTAAAAAGGTCTCTCCTATTGCCCGGTGACATGTAATTATCCATTTCATGCATGGTCATAAATGAAAAGTTATCGGTTACAATGATTTAAAGATGTCGTTATTTGAGAGAACACAAAAGGAGAAAAAGGCAAATTTTGTGTCAGCAAAAACGCCAGTTCTATAAATAGAATCGATTTGTAGCTGTTCAGTCAGTAATCATAGGAACATGGTAGTATGGTACAGGACTGAAACACGTTTTGGAGGTCCAATACCTTTTTCCAATAGAATTTGTAATTTCTTCTAATGACAATGGTTCGTTCCATCCACTGAACTACAGGCATTGAAAGTGTGCAATTTCCAACTTTAAAACTTGATAGTTTTCGAAACCCTAATTTTTTGACCAGTTCAAGGAGGCTTGTGATCTCCTTTTATAACTCTGGAACTTTTATGACATAGTTATGCAACATATTTGCAATAATTTAGATATAACTGCACATACGTTATCACAATATTGAAGATGAAGTTTTTATTGTACATTAGAGACAAATTTAGGATTGCGCAATAATATTCGATTATTCGGTTCGATTCGAATATTCGATTTTGGACAGCCCTAGTAACATCACACAATCTTGAATAGTGGTGTGATTTTCATCTTACCTCAGGTCATTGAATCTTTCCTCTTCTACACATTTTAAATTTCATTCAAGGGTGGGGTTTAAATAAAATTATTTTAAAAATTCAAATTAGGTCTCATTTTCAGGCCATGTCTTACTTTCGAGAAAACACGGTAGTTTTACAATGATTAGCCATCCATTGCTGTGTTCTGTGTTATGTCCTAAAAAGTTAAATGGGTCGCCATAAGCTGTGGTAATAAATAGTGGGTCGCAACCCTAAAAAGTTTGAGAACCACTACTCTAAGCTGTTCCAAGCCCCCACAAAACTCAGGCATAATATTTTTATAAATTATAATAATGATATAACATACCCGCGGGAAAGAAACGGGCCAATGAGATGGCAGATAGTCACTGGGTGTCTGGCAGGGCAGCTACCACGGGCTTGAATTTTTATTTTGCTCACAGAACTATTTGATGATTCACAAAAATGCAAATGTTATTACGCGATGATTGTCATAATCAAATGAATGAACCTGATTCCCAAATCTCCATCCGCTAATGATGGAGAATTAAGACTAGTAATCACGTTTTATTCTTCAAGTAGGCGCTGATTTAAATATTTCATGTTCGCTGTTATGATTTTATTTTTGATTTCAAATTAAAACCTAAACCTAACTGAACGCTATTGTTATTAACGGCGCCGGGTTAACGATAAAATCTGCGATATATACTAAATAAGTTTTGAGATCAATAAAAAACAATTAAATACGACAATTTGTTTTTAGACTATTGCCGAGAGAGCACAAACTATCTCGACTAAATTAAAAAATATACGATAACAATTGTAAAATATTTTCTATCTAAAACATCCTCGACGTGTTAAAAGCACTTCAAGTCGGCACTAAATAAAATCCTTTCATGCCTCTAATTTATTTTTGTGCCGCACACGGCTGCCTTCGATTACGATGAAAATGAAATAATTTGTAGAATGTTTTAAATCAAAACGCGAATGGCATGCTAGTATATGTGCACCATATTCGGTATTCCTATAAACACGAAAAACAATATTCGAATATTAAATTTGAATTGGACATACCTGCTTCAAATACTGCATTAAATTAACCTAAAATATACAAATATCACTGGACACGTTTTTTGTTTTTTGTTTTCGGCCTTTCGTATGTGGAAAATCTTACGTTAGTCGAAGCAATATTTTGGAAGCAAGTTGGATTTTTTGTATCCAGAGCCTTTCGTAGGTAGAGTTTCTACTGTATTGCAATTCTGCACAAAAATGACTACACAAAAGTGTAAGAGAAGTTATGATTTTTTTATCGTTAGCTGTTCTGAGATCGTAACATAAAATAATAATATAATTTCAGACTATCAGTTGTTTTCAAGTCACTCAATCGACAAAGCGAGGAAAAAATTTAGTTCATGTTACAGTAACACAAAATGAAATGAGTTTAATCATTCATAAATACCAATCTTTTTGTCAAGTGAAGTTATCATATATGTTAGAAATGCCAAAGTGATTGAGCAGACATTTATTTAGACATGTTAAATGTAATTCTCTTTTACATAAAAACAATATCAAGCTTGCTATGTTCAGAGCTGGTAAACCTGCCATTAAACTACATTAAAGGGTTTTTGTTGGATAAGACAAAGGAAGTTTTTTTCGGTCTTTAACCTTGGTGATATGCATGTGTATTGTGTATATAACATTCTGCAGAAAAAACATTTCAAACTCTGTGGTATATTGGACTACATGCTTATGTTAGATTTATTTTAGTTACTACAGAACAAAATATATTATATTCTATTTAATATATGTTATGACAAAATATGATAATATTTCATTTGTTAATTCAGGAATGTATGCAAATAATTTTATGAAGAAAGTAAAGGATGATGTTTTAATTGCAAATACCATGTATGATTTAAAGTCTCGAGTGCAATATGGTAGTAGTTCGCTTGCAAAAGGAAGAGGGCTCGATACATTTCTTATTCGTGGAACGCATGAAAGAGTTTTAAGGGATAACCACTCTCCCTATTCAGAATCTGATTTATTTGAAATACGTAATGCTTACAATTGCCTGAAGCCAGTAACTGATGGTTAGCATTACATTTTATTTGTTTTGTGATTAGAAACTGTGTGTGTGAATTAATTTATTACTCTTAGGTGAGTGAACATGTACCACCTCGTTTGGGAAACTTTCCAACCTAAGTTTTGTATTCTATAAACCTTAGGATTCTTTAATCAGTTTTCGTTTATTTGTTTTTTTAACAATTATTTTATCGTCTGTTATGCTGATTATGGAGTCGAAATATACCTCACCCACAATTATTCAAATGCTTCCAGTTACTCTGCTTGAAATGCTCTATTCATGAATCATATAGTAAGTTGGTCGATGCAATACAAATTTCCCACTTTTCTGCGACTTTCTCAGGTATAATGCAGAAATGTTAAGAGATGTTCATATACCGGTATGTGTTAGCATGATGCTCCTTGATCACAAAATAAATGACACTTTGTCTGTTTGTCTTCTTAAATTGTTGGAGATGTGCAATGAAATCCTCATTCTTCCTAAATTAAATTAAAAAAATTTCACGGAGAACTGAAATATTAATTATTTCACATAGAATATGGTTTAAAGCACTTTGTATTAATTAGTCCTGACACAATATGCAATCCTTTATTAATTTCATATTTGTTGATTCGTAATACAGCATCCTGGTCTGAGTGGGGAGAATGGAGTGCATGTGATGCAACTTGTGGCAAGGGTGAATTGTATCGATACAGAAAATGTGAAAACAAAAATAAAGAGCTTGTTATAGAGTGCCCAGGTATGTGATAATAATCTTGTATTGGTATGGGATTTTTTTACCAGGGAAATATTTAAGTTCACGCAAATATTTTCAATTCTGCTTGTACTGCATAACATGTTAAAAAAAATGAATTCATACACGCATAAACTCTGTTTTTCACAAATGATATTTAAATTACAACTATCATCAAAATTGTCATGGTGTCATTGTCATTATAGATATATTTTTTACATTCATTTTGGAAGCTAGGATAAAAAATGGGACATCATAGTATCTCTCTCTTTTTTCAAGTAGTTACCAGTACTAGTTGTATATGGGATTACTGAATAACTAGTTGACTGTTTTAGATCAGGGGTGGGCAAGGTTTTTGGAGCAGATGCCGGAAATTTTGCCCTCTTAGACTGGCGGACCATGTAATACAAGTGACGTACACGACAAGCCCAAAAGGCGCAAGAAAGAGGTGTGCAAAGCACATTGTTTAATTGAGTTAGGACGCTCTATATCAGGGATGGGAAAGGTTTTTTGACCAGAGGCCAAAAATTTTGCCTGCTCAGACTGACAGGCCATGTGACTTGAGTGAGGCACACGACAAGCGCACAAGGCAAAAGAAAGAGATGTTAAAAGTACACTGCCAAATCGAGTGAGCGAGAAAATGTAAAGTTTTGTTAACATTCCTTATCATGATAGTCTGTGGCAACCTAAAATACAACTTACACAGACTACGATCATAATCTAACCAGCCTATTGTAGGACAAGATTGAATCACCAAACAGACCAGATTTGCTCGCTGACTGTATCCAACCACACTCTGTAATGTGGTCCGACACATCATTCTTGAAAGTTACCGATCGCTCTACTCTCACCGCACTGTCAGTGTGAGCTGGGAAAATAAACAATTGTCTTAGTGAACAAACAATTGCGTTATAACGCATGTTAAATAAACAAACAATATAAGGTCAAAGCAAAGAGCGTTGTAAACATTCCCCACTACTGTTATCAGTTATATTCAGATTCTAAATATAAATAGATTTTGCAAATTAGATTTTATATTAAGTTTTATTAACCATGAAATATCCCAAGAAACGTAAAGTTGACAGAGAGTGTCCAGCATTTAACAATGATTAGATACCGAAGTATTATTTGTACTAATCCGGCCCGCCGAAGACTTCATTTTCCCACATCTGTCCCGTCGACTAGAGAAGTTGTCCACCCCTGCTGTAGATTCTAGCCCAGTCATAAGTTGACTGACATATCATATATGGTAGAAAATTATCATTTGTTTGAACTACTAATTTGTTTTTTTTCACTGGGCAGGTGGATATTTTGAAAAACAGGATTGTTCTGAGGGTGGAGAATGTCCCTATTCTTGGTTGCCTTGGGAGGGATGGAGTCATTGTTATGAAAAGTGTGGGCCAGAAATACGTGGAAAGTATTGAAGATTTTTATATTTATCCTGGGTAGAGAAAAGAGATAAGATGACCTGATTATATGTTGAACCAAAGCCACACATTGGGTTACCAGTTCAAGTCTGTTTTGGTCTTTAAGATGCATGCATTAACCAGCGGTTATGGGATTCCAAATAGGATATCTACCCTCTTACTTATAATTGCCACATGATTCAAACTCGTGCAGCCAAGGTTATGTGCTGGAATTTATTTCATTCTGCTTTGTTCAATTTGTTTGTATCTGCCAATAGCTGGGGCAAACTGAGCCTGCCACAAGAAGTAAATCAATATTGAACTGTGGCATTATTTTTGCACAAAAACCTTACTGATATGGTTCTCGGCCCCATTATAGTTTAGAAGCTGTTGTAAGGTTAGCTAGCATTTAGAAAATAGCCCTTTTACCACTGGAGTGAAAATGATTAACTTCATCCACAAGCTTCAACATGTAGTGCTCTTGTGTTGGATTAGTCAGAATATTACTCTTAAGAATTTATATTCACTTTAAAGGCCAAATCATGCAGTTTCTGATTTTCTGGTACTTTTCAACCCCATTATTCTTTTGGTGCTTTCCAGTATTTATCACGACCTTTTCTCAGTGTGAGATATTGGCTAATATTTAATTGCAATGGACCTTTTAAGTTTCAGGAAATGTACTGGGGCTGAAGAATGCCTTGGAAAATCCTTTATAGTGGAGGATTGTGGACATCCACCTTGTGGTAAGAAAGCCTATTATATTCTGTTGGTCGATATATGGTTATTGTTCAATGAAATCTTAATTGTGGAAACAATAATGTTGGATTTCTCAATAATACATGATGGCTCATATGACTTATTGATCAATGGCTGGTTATAGTATCCGCCACCAACCATACCCATTTATGTACCGGTATCAACAATGTATTTGGATAGTTGAGTATCCATTCTAGACTTACCTTTGAGTGTTCGAGGTTTGCCCGATATCTTGGTTGGGATGGCATATGGTAATAATAATCTCCAATGCAAATTTGTAGCTCCAATGTCCTGGGTTTGAACACTTTATTCAGGGTGCAAAAAATGAGTAGTATGCGTCACACTTTTCAGTTTATACAAAATTCAACTTTTCACATCTTTCCAAATGATGGTAAAGATCATTGTTCGTAGCAAAGATGTTAAATACTTCATAGATGGTATATACAAATAAAAGAGTTGTGGCTTTTGTCAGAGAACCATTTACAAGTTATTTGCATGAAATTAAAGTTGATGTTTATGAGCAAATAAATAAGAAAATGATCAGATGCTGTATTTCTGTTTACTTTTTGTTGTTGGCCTGTTTTCGTATACAGTGATACCTTGGTAGTCGACCGCGTCGAACAACTCGGGAGTTGGACACAAATTTCTAGTTAAAAATGATGCGGTATTAGAGCGAAAATCCAGCGCCCGAACTCCCGAGTGCGCCACCAAGTGAGAACTGTGCATCAGAGCTGCCATTCAACAAAAGAGATGCTCAAATATGTGGAAGCGAAGGCCATAACGAAGTGGTACAGTTATGCAATCTGTCAAGGTAGACTACTGGTACAGCAGTCTTTTTGACTAACATGAAAGCAGAATCGCAACAAAGTGCGCAATTTTGATGACGTAGTCGCACACGAAAAACGAATTTCATAGAACCCTCAGAAATTTGCTCAATCAATTGAAAAATCACCATTGTTTTGTATTGCAAAAAAAGTTTCGGTACTCAAACAAATCAGTAGTCGAACACCAATCCAGAACGAAATATTTTCGACTACCGACTTATCACCGTAATTTATGAACAAAATTTAACTTGATTTGAAGTATACCACTAATCCATCACTGAAACTCACTCAGGTGCCTTGTTGGGATAGTGGAATTCAGTTTACATTTTGAGATCTTAGTTTTAAACCATTAAACTTGAAAGCATTAAATTTTCCTACTCAAATATTTTTTACTGCAAGATGAGTCAGGTAAGCCTGCAGGAGGAAGCACAAATGTTGGTGGTGACAGTAGTGGTAAGGATGATAGAATGACTGAAACTAGTTGGGGAGAATGGTCGTCTTGTTCTGCATCATGTGATGGTGAAAGAAAAAGGTTTGTGATATAAGTCTTGATGATAAAATACAAAATAATTTTTTAATAAATAAATATTTTTCAAATCACCCCTATAAATTGTGAAATTCATTGTGTTTGGCATATAATTGGATTCCAGTTTAATTTAGTAATAAAATGTGATGTATTTTGTGTATCAGTGTTTCTTTATGCTTATTCATGGTTTCTATTTTCTAATATCAATATAAATCAAAATGTTGACCTTGCACTTCAGAGCAGTGTCTTAACCTAGAAGTCCAAGCTCATGTAGTGTTTTGAAGGTCGGCTTGTGGGATATTGTTCCAAATCAACTTATACCTATACGCATTTTATTCGCGATCTCATCTAACATTCAAATTTTCTGCTTTTCTTGCGACCACCCTGTATGATCAAATTGGGAATTTTTTGATATCTTTCTTCACAATTCATTCATGCTCTCAATATCTTGCACAGCTCCATTATCAGTGAAATAGGGACGTATGCAAGCTAGATTCAGTACACATAATTTGTTTTTTTATTAAAGTATTAAGAGTTGAATTATATTATGTAAGAACCTCATTGTTTTATTTTCTGTGCAATTTGATACTGATCTAATGTTGAAACTGACCAGGTTTGTTATGTCATTCTCCATTGTGTATTAATACAAGTTATTAAAATTCAGAGAGAAATCATGTGGGAATTCATTATGTTCGGGTTCAAATTCTGAAAGAGAAGTTTGTAATACAGGAATATGTTACGAAGGTATTATAAATGCATCATATTGGCCATCTTCAGTGAAGGCCTTTAAAATGCTGATTTGATCTATTTAACTATACTTACCCCCACCCAACCTACCAATATTTGATAATAAATTATTCTTTGAGCTAGGCTGATTATTTGTTTGTTGTGTCTGTTTTTTAGTCCCAACATTTTTCACATTCGAAACCTTTTTTTTCTAGTCCTAAACTCTCACTTGAAATTAATGTATTTTTTTTGCATTTTTTAATATGCAGGAGATGTCCTTGGTGAATGGGGAGAATGGGGTTCTTGTACTGCCGAGTGCAATCAGGTAAAGTCTATTCAATATTTTTAAATAAATTCCTGTATGTATAGAAAATGTCTTTCAAATTTTGTGAAAATCTGTGAGCCGTATCAATTGCATTTCTAGAAACGCAAGCGAAGATGTCATGGTGTGGACAGAAAACCTGTTGATAAATGTGGGGCAAATGCTCCTGAATTTGAATTTGAAGAGAAATTATGTGACTCGTATAATTGTCGAAATCAAGGGGGTCAGTGGGGAGAATGGTCAGCTTGTTCAGCTAGTTGTGAGGGAACGAGAATGAGGTTATTTGTTGTTTCTTTTGAATTTTTGAAGTGATGTATTTGTGAGTGCCGTTCATTGCTAAACTATAAACTTGCGGAGAACTTACTATTGTGTCAATATTTTCTGTATATTGATAATGTATCGTTTTCCATTAGAAATAAGATGTGCAATGGCAGGGTGTGTCCTGGTGAAAGTCCGGAAGGAGAAATGTGTAATGTGGGAGTATGTGAAGGTAATGCGCTATTTTACTCTTGTAAATTTTGAACTTATGCGTTTGAATATACAGTTGATATTGAGTGTTATCAATATGCAGTTGTTATGACAAGAATGTCAATATTTTGAAAAAAAATTACTTTCCAACACAATTTCATGAAAACATGGGAATATAATATGATAATCTAATTTGAGATAAGGTTATGTAATTTACGGTATGTATTGTAATTAAATTAATCAAAACTCTTAATTTTTAGATACTCTTGGTATATGGAGCAGCTGGTCATCATGTAGCCATTTATGTTCTCAGGTGTGCATTATTCTTTGTTTGTGTGTGGTATTATGGTATTCTATATTCTGAGATATATTGAACCCTGCACTCACTATTCGGGGATGAATGGTTTAAAAACAGTGTAACGATAGAATTTTTTGGGCAGGGATAGTTAAAAAATTTATTTTCCCTATTTATATATTTTTTGAAATTACTGGAGTATGAATGAAATTTTGGTAAAAAAAATTTTACTTTATTTTGATAACAGTATTTTGGGTTTGGCATAGTCGTGCCAAACATTGTTAGCATTGGAAAGCAGAAATTTTGGATCTTAGCTGTGGTTAGTCTATTATCCAACCCAAGTCCACCATATAACCCTGAATGACCAATTGGAATCGATTTGATTATCATTAAGGATTGATTTATCATTAAGGAAAGGAAACGCAAATGTAGACACTTGAACAATGAAGTTAGTACGTTGTGCGGTTATAATGCTCAAGAATATGAATATGACAAAAGATCTTGCAATACTAAAAATTGTGAAACAGAATCATCTTCTTCCGTTGGAGAATGGGGATTTTGGTCGAGTTGTTCTAGATCATGTGATGGAACACGGACCAGGTATACGCGCAAGCATAATATTCTTGCTTAATTCTGTATTTATCCAGAATTTACAGTAATTTAAACTAGTTCTCTCACAACGATATATTTATATATTGTATATATATAACAATATATTTCACTAAATGTTGGCGACCTGGCATATCATGCTAAATGTTATGAATACGCTCGCTACCGCACCTCTGATTACCCTGCGTGGGTTCTCAGCCTTGAATCCCATGTAGGGATTTTGTGTGCGAGAGGATTGCTTGACTACCCGACATGGACTGGTAACCGGACGAGAGACCTTGGTTCGTCATATGATTAAGCCGTCTTATCACTTTCCTCTCCCCTGGGATAAATATGTGAATGCTTCCTAAACAAATACCCACAATGCATTTTTTCACTTTCACATTTTGTTGGTTTTATTTACATATTTAGGAAACAAGAATGTCAACAGTCGTTTTGTCCAAACCAAAAGGAACAAAGTGAACAATGCAATGTTGGTGTATGTACTGGTGAGGATGATAGTGATGGAACTGACGAAAGTGAGTTTACTATTTTTGTTTTTTACGTTTTTTTTTGTCTGATGTCAAATGCTCAAAGTGACAAATTTCTGAAATAAAATATTATAAAATATTCCTAAATTAGAGAATTTTCCATATTGAACATAATCACATTCAAATATATATGAAAATTTGATTCGTTCCGTTATCCCCGTTCCTAGAAAAGTGAGGTGCAATTTTTAATAATGCAGTGGTAGTTTAAATTTGAATAGAATCTATAACAGTAAGGCTCGCATGTGATAAAGCGCTTTTATTCCAATTTTGTTTTCATTGTACGTGGATGCTGAATTAGGATTCGAATATTTTTAATATGTAGCTGGAGACTGAAAAGATGATATGTGTGTTAATAAATTTGTGCACTAATAATTTATTATTTTTAGTATAGAACCCTCAAGTTCACATTGGACTAGATCTCTATCTCATCTTGTACTTACAAAATTTAAAAAATGGAAACAAGTAATGAAAATAAATTAAAACAAGTAAATAGTTTAAGTCTTAGGAGTAGTAATAATAATAAGATTTAAATTTCACAGATAACAGCATCTTTGAAATGAGAGAATTGAAAATATCAAATACTTTATGTGGATCATCATCTAATATCAAATGGTACTTTGGTGATTTCAATGGTGATAGACGAACTGATGCGTTATGTATCACTTTGGGTGGTAGCCTGTAAGTACTTCGTTTCATTTTCAATGATTTTCTATTTAGTACATTTTATCTCCGCATATATGCCGTTATGCGTGTATAAGGTGGCCCTTTAGTTTGGCAACTTTGGGTTTCAAACTCGGCTTATATGCGAGGATATGTGGGAATTAATATTACTTTCGTTTGAAATGTTAACCTAATGTGGTCTAGGTTGGTATCTCAGGTTATGAATGTTAGATTCAAATCATATTCTCACTAAATTTATTAGGAAGTGCTGTAGAAGAAAAATACCTTCTGAAATACTATTGACTATTTGTAAAGATATTTTTTCTAAGTAAATGCTTGGGATAACTTATTAAAAACCTGTCATCAATTCCGTTGAATTAGTAAAATTTGTGCTACTGAAGATAAAGGTTTAGATCTTTCTCATTCATTCATTTCAGTTCTCTTGGGCATGCAAATACAGTTGGAAATGTCGAAAAACTACATTGGAAAGGAACAGCAAGATCTTGTTCCGGAGAAAATATTTACATCGCTGATTTTAATGGAGATGGTAAAGATGACGTACTGTGCAAGGATGAAATGAAAAGGTAAGAATTTAATTACATATATATTGTTAAGTTCATCTTGTTTTGAATTCAATAAGTCGTCAGCAGAAAGATGGAATCTGTTCCTTTTTGTTTTCGTCGCAGATTTTGACAGAATAAGATCCTGCTCTGATTTCTAGTAGGCTTATTCATAAAATGATGATCACTTCAAGGTCATCTCTTCTGATTTAGACTTTGGAGGATGTTTTTGTTTTAAACAAATAGGAAATAATATCACACTAGAGGTTCAAATACTAATCTAAAATGAACATTCTGTTCTTGTTTTCAGGAGGCTTGTTTTGTTATATGCGAATAGTGTAGGAGTATTAAGTGAAAAAGAAGTTGATGCAGGAAATTTTTGCACTGATCCTTCTGATAATCTGGTTCTTATCAATATGCCAAACTCAAAAACTATGGATCTTCTTTGTCATTTCGAAGATAAACATATCGAAGTTCGATCGAATATTGGAGGTTGATGAGACATTTGAAAACGATGGACTCATTCATAGAAGTGTCATATTTACATACCCGAATTCTCTTCACAAGGCATATTTTTTTTGTACCATGGCCTTACATGCATTTACGGGACTGTGAATTAGGTATGGTCAGGTGTTTTTCCATACGATCCATATCGTAGGTATTTTCACAAGAGGATTTCAATTTTGAACATTTTCAAATTTTTTTGAGCATTTACCTTGAAATATACATATGAGATACAATTTTGGAAATCAAATGTTTGATATCTGCGATTACCATACTTCTATATGTATCCATGACTCTAATTTTGAATAACAGTTCATATGAGTGCACTTTGTCCTGATATTCATATGGAGCCTACTCATTTATAATATATAAAAGTGATTTTGTAACCATTTGCTGTTATTTTTTCTCATGGTATTGCGGTATGAAATATTGTTTATTATTTCTGAATGTCTTCATTTGTTCAATAATTAAACGTAAAAGTTTATGCTTAAAAGTTTTATTTGTTTGATTTAGCATGTATTACTATCCTATTTATTTTACAATGTATACTGTTTATATTTCAAGCTTGTGCATTGATTTGACTTCTTTTATGTATTACTCGATGCTTTGTTGGTATACCTATTCAAATTTGCTAGTGAATTGGTCAGTCTATTTTTGATGATATTTTAGTTATTTACTGTAGGTCTTTTGATCAATTTTCAGCTCACAGTTTCAGCTTGTTTTTCTTCAAAACTAATGTGCCGATCATTTTCAGATTTTCAGTGCTTGAAAATGACAGAAGTCGCTACAATGCTAATTTTTTATTTGGAAATGACCTTAGAATCCTGTTGAAGTTGGTAATTCGCCTCAAAATTTTTTTGCTTCAGTTTAATTAAATGAGGGTACATTTCATTCTGTATTGCTCTACTACCCTTGTACTGCTTGTTTACAGATTTTTTCTTGCAGACTTGATTGTGTCGTGCATTAATGTTCCGGAACGATACACGGCATCTATTACTATGTATTTGAACAACGCCCTCTTGTGGTGGTTATTTAAAAAAAATTGGGTGCTTCTGAAGTATGCGCATCAAGATGTCGCATAGCCTGAACCCCAGTCTGGTACACAACCTGAGTTCAGGTTGTGCGCCATTTTGGTGCGCATACTTCAGGAGGTCCAAAAATTGAATATATATACACCTGTTTTTATTTTAAAGTTCCTCATTTTGTACATCTTTTTAAATTATTGTCTGGTGTTGATACCAGTTGTCATAAGCGCAATGCAATGATAAATGCAATAAGTGAATATTACTGTATATCCAATCCAGAATTAGAAACTTGACATAATATTTTTATTACTGATATGTTACAATTTTATTTTCAATTTTATGTTGTGTAAATTTTTTTTATTTTTGATGTTTCTATTTTGTTCTTGGAGAAATTTTTGTTGTTGTGAACAAGCGTTACAGAACCATACATGTCTGAATGGTACTAACAACCAAAGCTGTGAAATCCAGACTCGGAGTTTGCTATTTGAATCCAAAGTTTGAACCTCTTAGCATTGGTTTTTATATTCCAAATAGACAAATATTTATTCATTTTAAATTAAATATGTTATGTGTTCATTTTTACAGTTAGTGAAAAGTTGACAAAAATGTCCTGACAGAATTGTTTTATTAATACTACCAATATGAGCAGCATATGCCTTGTGGTGGCAAAATATGGTTGAACTTCAACCAGTAGACACTGTAATTCCAGGCAAATCTTGTGGACCTATGACTGAAACAACAACAAATAGAAAGAAATTAAAGACAGCTGGTGGAAGATCGAAAGGTGAAATTGACAATAATCAATAACTTATTCCATTTGAGGGTTTTGAGGTTTAGAAATGGAAAAATTTTATCTGGTTTAGAAATAGTTTGCTAGTTGCTTCATTCAATACAGTCATGAATGCCAGAGAGAGTTGTAAGACGTAACACAATAAGTTACAAACAGTCACAATAAGTTTTTATTTTCTCGGAGTAGATTGGAATCCTAGAATCAGTTAGTGTTACTCGAAAATACTTTTCTTCCCTTTCTTTTTTTTTTGTTGTACTCCGAAGCAATTTCCTTTAATCTGACAGTACAGAAATAGATTCCTGTTAGCACACAGCAAGACTGAATTATGATTTGTGATTAATTCGATTTGCAGGTATTCAGATTTTTTGGAAAATTATGATATACAACAAATTACTTCTAATAAAATTTAACAACATCATTAGCATTGCAAAAATGGCAACCTCTCAGTGCCAGTGGCTATAAACCGAAATTTTGATTGGCTGAGATCTCAATTGAAATTTTTTGAACAGCATTCCCTAAATTTGAACTAAAATGTTTGGCTACAAATTTTATCTAAATTATGACCTTCTGAATAGATTACTTTTCAGATAATTTATATGGCAGGCTTCATCTGTGATTTATTCTAATAAATATATTGTCTTGTTGATATTCAGATATAGCAATTATTTTTTACAGGTGTTCGATCGTCGAGTACTACAACATGTGATGTCACAAAGCTTATTGTTGTTATCATCACAATTCTAATTCTTGTTTCTGCCCTCATTGCAGTTGTCTTGGTAATTGTTATGGGTATGTATGATTCATGAATGCATTATGCATTTTCTTTTTTTAAGCTGAATTTTACAACTTTGCTCTTAATAAGACTTTATTCAGACAGCTACTCAGATATCGGGAGCTACTAAATTTAGAAAAACTGCAAAGTGGCCTAGTGGTTGAAGCGCTGGTCTTTGCTATGTTAGCATCACAAGTTTAAAATATCTGGTTCAAATACCATGACCATTATCTCTCTCTGTCTGTCTGCCAATCTCTGTCTTCTTTCCCTGTTTTAAATGGTGGAGGAAATAATTGGTATGCATACCATATAGTATGATAGCATTCATATATCCAAATTTTCGACAATAGTATTTTATAATAGTTATCCAAACCATGATTGTCTTCAATATTCAGAAAAAGGACCATTGAGTTGGGGAAATTTACACCCAGCTAAAAATGACCACCACTTTCGGAATCACTAAAATCTCGTCTCTCCTCCACCAGGTTGAGAGAAATTTTGCCTTGGACCCCTGCTCTGAGAAAACCAAATTTTTGATATCTAAATCTTCTGGGCATTCAAGATTTTTCCTCCTGTTGAGAATGCTTAGTTAAATGGATGAGTTTTCGTTGAAAACTTCAGTCAACACTTTTGTTGCCCGTAGTTCCAACTTCTGATTCGGATGGGATCAAAATTTTGATTTCTAACTCCAGTATTGATAAAATCATGCAAATTTCTCGACGCTCTTGTTCAGAATGCTTACATTTTGTTTTGTAATAACTTGCATTGATGAGCCTATCACTGAATAATCATACCCAACTGAACAGTTGATAGAATTTTTTCAGTTCGAATATCTTTGTTTTCAGATCAAATGTCATCTTCATTAAGAGCTTTTGAGAAAGCATCATGTGATGAAGTAGAACCAACGCCTATGCATATAAATTCATGTTTAAGTGCGTCAATTATATTTTATTAATGAATTAGTCTATCTGAAATATTGTGATATATGATTTGCAAAACTCAAATAATTTTAGGATGGCAAAATTAAGCAAATGTTTTTTATTATTACTTTGTGGCTTCGAATTCCAACGTTCGCTTTTTAGCTTTCTATTGTCCTTGTTCTAATAGATTAGGTTAATATTAATGTGATGCGATTGTAAAAAACATATGCTGTAAAGTGAATTTATTGGAACACAGGAATATTTGTTTTGTGTGAGGGCTCAACCAGCGGCATATTTTGATAATTTTACCAACTTTGTGTACATACATTTGAGCATTGCCTTCTTGTCTTCTTTCAGATTCTAACTGTCGATTTGATCTTTCTACTTGTTTTGAACCATGTCCATTCGGCTATAGAACAGATGAAAGTGGATGTGAAGATAGTTGTGAATGTGCTATTGAAGGAAGTTTTGAAGGAGATATTGCATTTTCTGAAGATGAAATACCTAAATTAACAGAAGTGTGTACAATTGAAAATATGATAAAGTTTGTTGGTCAAATTAAAATGCATCTTCTGTCAAATATACAGTAGTCTCAACATTTTTCCCACATTCCTCACTTTGTCTACTTCGAAAGTCTTTTTCCCTCCTCTAGACAAAGTGCAACAGATACACTATTACCATTTTGATATTTGCCCTCATTTTAGTAATATATACTTATAAACGAATAATGAATAAACTGCGATTACTGTTGTCAATATGATATTTTTTTCCTGAAACTCAAGATTCAAGATGTTGAATTTGAAATAATAAGTTTAAAAATTAGATGTTTTCGTGAAGTTCAAAATATCTTGACAAAAAAATATTTCTTGTCAAATTTTCTCTTTTAAATATATATTACATTAATTAGCTACATAGAAATTTATTCAGAACATTTAAAATAGAATGAATTGCATACAACACCACCATACAGATAGAGACATTGTCAGGTCTGGTATAGACCTTTGTAGTAATGAAACAATTTCAATGGAATTACTAACAATGTCATATATATATCTAGCTTTATGGATACTCAATGCCTGGGGATTTTGACGTATTTTCTGGTTCGTCAACAACAGGTCGTATATGGAATGATAAACCTGTAGATGAGAGGCATAAAATCTACTATCAATGGGCATCTTCTGTTAGTGAGTAGAAAACATTGTGCTTCATTTTTACTGGCATTTGGAAAAAGAGTGAGCATAGCGACCGTTTTGTTATTGTGTTTTGGTGGTAAAATTTCTCGGCAACTAATTAATTTCCAATGCCCAATCATAGGAAGAAATTGCTAGATGTCTATTGCTTTTATTTTATTTTCTCAAATTCAGTTCTATCAGTCCTGATATTATTTTTTTTTTTAATTCATGGAACACTAATGATGTATGGAAACTTTTTATTCAGTCGCACTTGTCCACTAATGTTTCCAGCAAACTACATGCTCAGCTTAGATCTTATTCGTATTGGTGCACGGCCTGAATGTTAATTTATATAAATAAAAATTACTCTCTTGTTTCAATCAACTAAAGCATAAATCCATATTTGTTTTTATAATAAGCAAATCTGTTTGTTTTTGTTGTGTTGGTAGTGTGTAACACACATGCTTTATTGTTGTATAACTAACAGTATTGTTATCTAAATAGTGATATATCCTGGAATTTCGTTGTGCAAATGGTAGCATTTTTTAAAGAACTGCAATTTTGGTCACTTTTCGAAATAAAAATGATTCCAAACTTTAAGCTAAATACTATTAATTGGTAATTTCAGCTGAAAAAGCAGAGAAGGCAATTATTGAAGCTATTAAACGCTATAAAGAAAAGACATGCATCGATTTTATTGAAAGGAAAACTGAGGAACGTTATTTCAGATTCACTTCGGGAAGAGGTTGTATGTGAGTGCAGTCATTATTCACATGTATATAGGACCCGGGAGTTAAATCAACGGAAACTTCAAGATGATGATAAATTTTTCAATCCACTATTTGATTTATAACATTATTTTTTGCCGTGATGGACAGTTTGATTGATACACAATCCTGCAACACATAATTTATGATAGCGTTGTTTGGTGTCTGAAAAATGTTGTGTCCCACTTGTCCCGAGTGTGGCTCACATTGTAGGAAGATAAAAACTTCATTATGGAATTTGCGGTTGTGCAAAGAACCTATTTTTGAAGACTACATCACAGGTACACAGCAATATGTAGAAAATTGACACCAACAGTTCTCAGGAGCTTTCCAGGAATCGTCCAGGGTTCTTGCTTAGGACCTCTATTCTTCATTTTATACATCAACAATATCTCTAATTGCCCAGATCTATTGACTGGAGTATTTGCCGATAATACTGATCTTCTTGACAGCACAAAATTGATGTCAAACCTTAAGAAGTGTGTAAATAACTATTTGCCCTAAAGGATATATTTATCATAACTCAGAATAGTGGGAAGGAATAAGATAACATATTTTAGTCATTGGTATTTTTCAACGATTTCAAAAATCAAGTTTTGAATAAATCTTGCGTTGTTAACTTCAATAGGTCAATGATAGGAAGGCATAGAAAGAATGGACAACAAGTATCTATAGGTAGAGGTTGTGAGATACCAGGTGTTGTTCAACACGAATTACTACATTTGCTCGGATTTCATCATGAACATTCTAGACCAGATCGAGATTCCTATCTTAAAGTTTTAGAAGAGAACATACTCAAAGGTAAGGCTTGAAGTCAGTTAACAAATTGCTCAGTTCAAGGTTTCAAGTAATACTGTTATTTGAAATATTTGTTGAAGTTTGCATGCTTTAAGGTTTAAGTTGACAAAAGAAACTTTTTTAATTTCAATCTTGAGAAATATAATTAGTTAGAATTTCCTAGGAGAAGAGTAGTTCGAGATTAGTTACTTTAGACAATTGTCATGATGCTGTTTTGATACTGGTTTTGCATATTTTGTCTCCCGTGTTCATTTATATATCATTCATTAGCTAAAATGTCTTTTATTAGCCTCTGTTGCCATTATATCAGTTTACTAGTATAAATTTTTTTTCATGTTTTAGAAAGATTTGGCAACTTCAAGAAGAGATTAAAGAGTCAAGTGCGAGATCTTGATTCAGAATATGATATAACTTCTGTAATGCATTATCCAAGTAATGCATTCAGTAAAAATAAGAAACCAACAATACTAAACAGAAAAAATGATAAATTAGTAAAAGCACAAAGGCGAGGATTCACAAATGAAGATTTATATGAAGTCAATTTATTGTACAACTGCTACAATGAATTAGCAGCAGCAGGTGAGTGGTGTAGATGTCAATGGTGATTTTCAACTTTTTTTGCACTAGTGGAAAATTACAAATAGTTCTTAATAGTTCAATCTTATCCTGTCACATTTTAAAGTAAAAAGTATAAATTTTGAATACTCTGTGATGGATTTATTCATATATGTTTGATACAAACTAAATATATAAAAAGTTGATTTTTTATCTCAGAATTGAGATATTATTGTATATTCATTTGTCTTGTAATGATAAGATTTATAGATAATGTGGGAATAATAATTTGAAGATTGTATTCTTGGACAAGATTGTACTGGTTTAAAACATGAATATGCACTATAAGCCCTTTTGAATAATTAGTGAACAAAACCTAATATAAAAAACAGATAGTTTTATAAATAGTACAGCGATAGGCCAGGGACTGCAGACTGACACTTGTAACACTGTCAACCAGCCAGTGTTGGGAATTCTCAGCGATTGACTCTACTTGAGACTCACCTGAGTCGTATTTTCGAATTTACTGGAGTCTGAGTCAAAATTTGAATTTCTGAAGTATGAATCAGAATTGCAGTCTTTCAATTGAAGATAAAAAAAAGTTAAAACTACCTATAAAACTCAAAGGGCATTAAGTTTAATGAGCATTCTTTACAGTCTACCAGAGGAGGTAGCGAATGCCTACTTTTTGTAATCAAAATGTGATTTGAGTTTGAAAGCCGAATTAGAAGTCAAAACTGAATCAAATGGAAGCCAGAGTCGATTGTAAATTATCGCAGACCAACAATTGATATGTTTATATTTTTAGCCAAGTGGGCATCTTGGACACCATGGAGTTTGTGTGATGAGACTTGTGGATTTGGCGAAAGATCTAGATTTAGAAAATGTAAAAATATGAAAGATGAAATAGTTGCAGGATGCAAAGGTGCTAATTGGTTGGTGCTCGCAAATTTCACAGATCATGACTAGGGCTGGACATTTCGAACCGAATATTCAAATTGATTTGAATAGTAAATTATGTAAATCTGTTCTGTCAAAAATTTTAAATTGGCACCATCTTGTTTTTTCTGTTAAAGTGAGGGTAATCCCTAATTTTTGTTTATTGAAACCATATTTTCAAAATGCTATTCTGACATATGACTTTTTTCTTCCTAGTGAGTATTTGATGTAACTTGTTTCTTGTTATTTGTTAACATTCAGCGAACTGTCTGATTGATGGATTCTATCTTTTCAATAATTTATGTGTCTGGAAGACATATTACAAAAAAAGTCACATGTAATTATCTATCTTCCAAGTATTTGAGATTCGATTTGATTCGAAAAAAATATGATTCAATTAATAAATCGTAAGATATTCGGAAATGCCCAGCCCTAATCATGACTGTTTTGCAATCTAGAGGAATATAATTATTTGAATAATGACCCGCTCAATCATGAGACACAAAAAAAATACTTTCAGTTAATGAACTCCTTCTGTACCTATATAAATTAGTTTTAAAATAGTTTTCATTAATTTTTTATTTTGAATCGAATTTTTGTTTATAACCAGTTTGTGCTTTACTTTTTTCATCTTGGATTTAAAATATACCAATGACTATTACTGGAAAAGTTTCATGGCAAGATTTGTTCAGTTTTTCTTCATAAGATCTACCGGTTCTAAAATACGATTCTAAGATCTAAAATACGGTTCTAAATCTCAAATCTTTCAGACACTGACCACGATTGATACTAATCTTCAGGTCAGTTTTTTATCATTATCAAATTCTGTCATCAACCTATATTTAGGATCTAAGTTTCAACGAATAGCCTGCCAAGGTCCACCATGTCCACGAAAAGCTGGGAGATGGAGTGAGTGGGGATCTTTCACAGAATGTAGTGAGAAATGCAGCGGTGGTTTCCAATGGAGGTTTGTTCAATACAATATCATGGTTGAATCTCTGGGTATTCAAATATTTTTATTGCGTTGCCTGTACTTAGCAATCCTGAAAGGCTTTGGAGAAAAATATCTTGGATAAGAAGCTACGAAGATTAGGAAAATCAAAAATATTTTTCTTTATATTTGCATTTTGTTTTGTTACACACTGAGTATTGTTCTTATTATTCCTTTTACTCTGTTTCAGTGACTTGAGAATTGAACATATATTCATAATTAGATAATGTTCAAAAGTCTGCATGATCTACTTTTCTTTTCTTATTTTAAAAAATCACCAATAGTAAAGGTTTACAACATTGAACTAGTTTTTAAATAACATACTTGACTCACACTGGTGATTTCTCAAAACCATGTGGTTGCTTATATTAGAGTTAAGCCGTCAACTGCAATTTACCTGTGCTGTGAATATTATAAATACCATCCTGTATTTGTGCAACCAACTTGACCTGGAGTAGGGGCGTCAACATTTAGATATATTCTCACCTAACAGGAGAAGAAGATGTACTGCTTATGGTGAATGTGAAGGTGTATCATATCAAGGACAATCCTGCAATAAAGAAGTTTGTGAAGGTAATTTGAAGATGTGACAATATTTCATTTATCACTTTCATGCATAAGAGAATGTACATAAAAATGTATTGTCTGTACATATATATAACAGTAGTTGAGGGATGAAATGTATCAGAATGTTGTTTAGTTTTTCTCTGAAGCTCGGTCAAAGTGAGGCATAAACTAAAAGTGGAAAGATCACAGATAGAAAGGTAACAAAACACAACTTTTATGCAAAGAGCTGCATATTGACCTGCAATTTTTACAAAGGTACCCATAAATACTCTGACTTTGAGCTATTAATTAGCTTGGTGGTGTGGCGCATCGTGCTAAGAGTTAGGAATACACTTGTGACTGCACCTTTGATTACCCTGCATGGATTCGAATTCTGTGGAAGATAATTATGTGCAAGAGGATTGCTGGATTTCTCGCTGCCAGGGAGGGGTTCATTCCGCCATCACGTCCATGCATCTGGAACAAATAACTGGCTATCTAATCCCATACCCACGGACTGGTAACTGGACGAGAGGCCGTGGTTGACCATGTTTTTGAGCAGTCTCATTGGCTTTTCTTTCCTGTGGGATAATTATCTAAACCCTATATTAAAGGTCCTTGTCAGGTAAACAGCAAACTCCCCATTGCAAAAGTTGTTGAAAACAATTCATTAATAAAAACTAGCTGCTAAGATTGGATGAAAAGTATTTTAGGCATTAAAGATAGAAAGCTTTCACAAACAAAGTCTGTTGTAATGTTTATCGAATGAGATTAGTGAAACAACATAACTGAGAACTAGTTTTAGATCAACAGTTTTACTTTTTAGGTATGCCAAGGTGGGCAGAGTGGTCTGCTTGGAGTACTTGCAGTAATAGGTGTGGAGGAGGATCAATGGTCAGTTTGATTTTAACAATTATATTAGGCTCACAATCGATTTGAAATGTGAATTTCATATCGTTACATTCATGTGTCTAAATATTACTGTTTATTTAGTTAGTTTCAGGTGTTTTGCTATCTTAGTTCGTTGATTTACTTGACAGTCGAAGGTTATACTAGATATTTTGTATTGAAGTACAACTCTTTTCTCCTTGTTCTATTTTTGAGATTTCAGCATGAGATTGTCAATTTTTGAGCAAGTCAAGCGAAAAGCTTATAAATTTTTATATTTCTGTCTCACTCTGTCCTTGGTATGAGATAATAGACTGTTATGGGTATTACCATTCAATTACACCAAGTAGTTCTTTAATTTTTTTCTTGACATAATTGTCCTAACCGAGATTCTAAAAAATGTTGCTTGATTCAATAATAGCTTTTTTTTTTCCAAATTTGTGCTTTTTAGTTTAGCAGTACTACTCCCTAATTTATTTCTTTAGTTTCTGTTTTTTATTTTCACAAATTGAATAACTTATCAAAAGCCTACTTTTCACAGTCACGCAAACGTCAATGCTTAACTGTTGACTTCGTAGCAGCATTGACTTGTGAAGGGGATGATGCAACAGGAGTTGAGACACAAAGAAAAGATTGTAATACAAATGACTGTGGTGGAATTTCCATTGAGTCTGATTATGAAAATCTTTGGTCTAGTTGTTCATCTAGTTGTGAGGGTACAAAAACAAGGTAAAATTTGAAAAGGAATTTTTCTATACCTGAACTTCAGAAACCATTATACTTCAAATTCATGGATGTCTGAAATCAATTGAGTATTCAATAAGGTTCAAATATACTAATTTCTTGAATAATTACGGTCCCTGGATATATTAACTTGAAATTAATGCAACAAGATGGCATTGGTCAATTTCTTGGTCGGCCTTTTTAATTTCGTTCATTTTCAAAATTGGCCTTCATAAAAATGACCTGGTCACCAAATAATATCTGCAATATTCTCTGTTAAACGTGACTCTGTTTTTATATACATTTTCCAAACAATATATATGGTTTCAGTCATCCCAGATGGATTTTGAAATTCTCTATATCTAGGTTTACATATACCAAAAAATCCCAAATAAATTATTTTTGGTCATTGAATACAATTTTTATTGCTTTCGCAATGCCAGGCAATGTTTTCGCAGGGAAAGAATTTGTGAAGGTAGCTGTCCTCCTGGTCAAAATATTGAAAAACAACCATGCAATGTTGGTGCTTGTGATGGTCCGAGTATGTTTTCATATTATTCTCATTTTTTGCTGTAACAAAAGTTGTTTTCAAATTATAACATGCTTAATTGCCAGTAG